TTTCAGTGCCTCTCCTATAAAAAGGGACCCCTCGAGTGGAGTCAGATAACACTAGCACAAGAAATAAACAAGCACAAGAAATTTACAAACCGACCCAAACATAGCAAAAAACACCACACTAGCATACATATATGAAAACTAGCCAAATTGGTGTCACATTTACACAGACGGATCCTCAGATCCGATATCTAAACACACAGGTTTCGGAGTCCACATCACACAACCAACTAAAGCCACACAATCCTACCGACTCCCAAACAATCAATCAACATTCAACATCCGAACTAATGGGCATGGCCTAAGCCCTTCATAATCAACAATCTAAAAAACAACAAAAAATCCTAATCCTTACCGACTCAAATACTAAAAATCTCAAACGATTTAATTAAGGCAGGCAAACAAATAGTATTCATTTCGATCCCCGCCCACGTAGGAATATACGGCAATGAAAACGCCGATAAAGCAGCTAAACTATCCCTTAAAATCCCAGAAATAAGCTTTAACCTACCCATCTCCAAATCAGAAATTAAAAGTGTCAACAAACAAAAAATCACCAAAAAATGGCATAGCCTATATCAAAACTCAAATAGCCAAATCAAAAAGGTTCTAAAAAAAACCCTCACCAAACCAAAAATTCTACATCCGTCCAAAAACATCGATAGAGTAATCACTAAACTCACAGGACATACCAACCTAAATAACCCCCTCAAAATAATAAGAAAACACGCAACAGGAACCTGCCCACATTGCAAACAACAAGAAACCCCAGAACACGCTCATACACTGCACACACTACCTAACACACCGAACTACACTACAAACCACCCTAAATCTACATAAGGCTCTTACTCTAGAAGCAATCCTATACCCACAAAATAAAATAGAAAAATTCAAAGCCTTAGGCATATACTTAATCAAAACAGGACTAATAAATCGCATTTAAAACCACCATAAACTACCAAAACTAAACCACATAATCAAACTAACAAACTTCCATACTCAGGTCCCTTAGTTCGCCCCCCAAACCCTCTTGGCATTTTTTCCAAATCTCAAAATTTCCAAAATTCTATATAAGCAACCACTAAAACACCCCTACTGGATTGCCAAACAACTTTTACCCCTTTTCGGAAACACATTAAATGGCCTGGCCCGGCCCGTGTGCGAAATACATTATCACAGGAGACGCCATGCCCAAACTGCAGCTACTTTGGTCGTTGGTCACCCTGTTGCTACGACTGGGTGCCACGGTCCTAGAAAGCTAGGATTACGTTTCCGTTCCCGTTTTTACCGTTTCTGTTTCCAGTTCCTGTTCCCAAACAACTTTTACCCCTTTTCGGAAACACATTAAATGGCCTGGCCGGGCCCGTGTGCGAAATACGCTGCAGTCGGAAAGCGCACATAAAATCTCCAAAGTAAGTAAGTAAGTAAGTAAGTAAGTAAGTGGAGTCGGTGTAACTTGTGAATCATTGCATCATGAACCATGCCACGATGAACCATGCAGACACCCTGGATACACCCCGGCTACATTCCCCGGAGAAGAAGGAGGATTCTGGACTGGATCCCTGGATACATTCCCCGATTGATTTTTACTCCATAAACTGTCATAAAGTATTCATAAAGTATCAGGCGTGATTTCAACTTGCAAAATGATTGACATAGTCCGTTATAGAGCGAGGATTGGGCTGTTTTCTCACCCGATTGACTGACATACAACATTCACATGGTTTAGAATGGTACAATGAATGGTAAAGCATGCAAATTACACTATTACGCGATATTTCATAAGAAAATATCATATCTCCGTTAAAGTGAGTGAGTGAGTATGGTTTTACGCCGCTTTTAGCAATATTCCAGCAATATCACGGCGGGGGACACCAGAAATGGGCTTCACACATTGTACCCATGTCGGGAATCGAACCCGGGTCTTCGGCGTGACGAGCGAACGCTTTAACCACTAGGCTACCCGACCGCCCCTATCTCCGTTAAAACATAAAACCAATATTTATGAGTCCACATATTGATATAAGATTTTATCACTGTATTCAATTCCAAACTTTTAGATATAAACTTTCGGACAGTTCAGTTCAAAATTCTTCAACCATTGATACATTACAGTATTTGTAGCTAGACGACGGGAATCTATAAACAGCTGAACACATTCTTACCTCATACATTTCCTTATCTAGTATTTAGGTATATCACAAAATACCACACAGACACTGCATAGCATAAGGATTTAATACACCTAAAATTATTGAACTGCATGACAAGACTGTATAAATAATCGGGGGGAGAAAATATTCTAGGGTTTGATTGGTAGCTTACCCTTGAGAATCTACAAATAGGAGAACACTTTTGTACCACTTACATTCCCATTATTAGCATTTTAATTTTAATACCTCTAGTTAGTACTGTTTTAAGTTTAGGATCCAGTGAAATGCCTAGATACTGCTTTTGCTTACAAAAACAAAGAAAAGAAATCCACTGAACCCGAAACTGACTCACTTAAATTTATACATACCAACAGCCATGCACGCAAGTAAAAGATTTTATCCATCAAAATATACCACAAAGACACTTTGTTGAACTTACTTACTTACTTACTTATATTGGAGATTTAACGTGCGCTTTCCGACTGCAAGCGTATGTCGCACACGGGCCCGGCCAGGCCATTTAATGTGTTTCCAAAAAGGGGAAAAGTGAGTTTGTGCAACCCAGGAGGGGGGCTTTAGGGGTTGCTTATATAGTAATTTTGAAATTTTGAGATTTGGAAAGAATGCCAAGAGTGGGTGGGGGACGAACTAAGGGAGCTGTGTGTGTTGGGTGGTTGTTAGATAAGGTAGTTTTGGTTTGAATAATTTATTTAGGGTTTAAATGCGACTAATTAATCCTGTTTTAATTAGGTATATGCCTAAGGCTTTGAATTTTTCTAATTTATTTTGTGGGTTTAGGATTGATTCTAGTGTAAGTCCGGTTTTAAGATTTAGGGTGGGCTGTAGTGTTGTTCGGTGTGTTTGGTAGTGTGTGCAGTGAATAGTGTTCTGGTGTTTCTTGTTGTTTGCAATGTGGGCAGTTTCCTGTTGTGTGTAGATTAGCTATTTTACGGTGATTATTTAGTTTGGTGTGGCCTGTTTGTAGTTTAGTAATTATTCTGTCGATTTTTTTTGATGGGTGTAGTATTTTTGGTTTATTTAGGTGTTTTTTTAGTACTTTCCTGATTTGGCTATTTGAGTTTTGGTATATATTTTGCCATTTTTTGTTGATTTTTTGTTTAGTGACACTTTTGATTTCTGATTTTGAGCTGGGTAAGTTTAAGCTTAATTCTGTGAGTTTAAGGGATAATTTTGCTGCTTTATCTGCCTTTTCAATTCCAAAGATTCCTACGTGGGCGGGGATCCAAATGAACTCTATTTGTTTACCTGCCTTAGTTAAGTTGTTTGAGCTATTGAGTATTTGATTTATTAGTTTGGGGTGGTTTTTAGTGTTTTTATTTTTGAGGGCTTGTAGTCCACTGAGGGAGTCGGTTAGGATGAGGTTTTTTGGTGTTTTTTAGATTGCTGATTGTGTAGTGCTGAGGCCATGCCCATTATTTCGGCCGTGAAAATGGATTGGTTGTTTGGGAGTCGGTAAGATTGTGTGTTTTTGGTTGGTTGTGCGATGTGGACTCCGAAACCTGTGTGTTTTGAGATCGGATCTGAGGATCCGTCTGTGTATATGTGACACCAATTTGGCCAATTTTCATGTATGTATGCTAGTGTGGTGGTTTTAGCGATGTTAGGATCGGTCTGTTTATTTAGTGTATCGGCTAGTGTTGTGTCTATTTTTGATATTTTAAGTTTTGGAGTGAAGATATTGGATGATTTATTGTTTTGTTTAAGATTATTTATTTTGTGTTCATTTAGGTAATTGGTATTGTTGAACTGCATGACAAGTCTATATAAATAGTTCGGGGGAGAAAATATACCGTGAGTCCTCGTAGAAAAGTCAGTGTCTTGACTGTGTGTTTTCTTTGATGAGAATGTTTCTCACCGACCTTAGCGTGTAGGGGTGTGATGTCCTGGGCAGGAAATGACAGTGTTTTGACTACTCGTCTTTCATTAATTAACGTGTTGGGCATCCCTAATTAACCTTTACTAATTCATGTTACACCAACACAGGATGTTTTCTGGAAGTGGACAATCGCGAATGTCATAGGGCTGACATGACACGTGTTAATAACTGTCCTAGAACTTCTAAAGTTCTAAAGGGAGATTTTATTCTGGGGGCGAATATATTTCGTGACACCGGCAATGCGTAGATATCTTCTTTTTCAAACATACTAGATGATTTCTTTGGACCCGAAAATCCGATTTTTTCCCCAGTGATCCTGCTGGCGGAAACGCACAAGCTGAGAATTACATCCTGTCACGTGACGATACTGTCACGTGGCAGGATACAACTAATCTATGTTTAACTTTAGTTTGTGATTACCGTCAACCCCAGAGAATCATCAGTACGGATTATCTGCCGAAACAGATTCCAATGGGAGTAAAAGGCATAGTGGTGCATTACTAGTAGTGGTGAAAAAATCCCCTAAAAGCAGTGATGACACCAGGCCCCGGGATCATGAAACTTACTTAAGACCATATTTTGTCTTAACTCTTAAGATTTAGACTAAAGACCAAGTTTTGTCTTAAATCGGGGATCACGAAGCTCAATCTATGAGAATATCTTAAGCCTAAGACAAAATTTGATCCTAATTCCTAAGACTGCCCCTGAGTAGATACATACATTTTGTCAAAGTATAGCCGGGTAACAGACATATTTGAATTTGTTGTGGACAAATTAAAAACAATATTTGAACCTATTGAACAAATTGGATAACGAGCAACGAGCAACAAAATAAACTCACTTGTCTTTCAGTCAAGTGAGTCATAAATATGTTTAAAATGTTAGCATAGCAAACAGACTCATGTACTGGTTCTTGCGTTCTCTATGTTAAAACACAGGGTCATACTCACTGTTTGGTAGCGATTTGGTGTTTACGATTCTTTTGAACCTTACTCGTGTACATTTTCAAAGGAATGTGCAAAGCAAGCGTCAGGTAGCTAACTATCTATGATCCAAGGGTAACCAACACACCATGATATATGATCTCATCACGTGGCTGTAGTGACATAACTCTAGCTGCGTTTGGTATGTGAAAACAATTGCGCTGGTAATAATCTTCAGACATCGAAGTCAGGTTGTATGTACTGAATCAACTTTGCAAGAGGCCACGTAGACCTCGTGCATGCGTATCAGTTTTCTTATCCCGTCTCGGACATTAATTACCATTCAGATTTTACCTGTATGGTAACTATCTGATGGGTCGTATGACACCATTTATACCTGGGGGGTACAAGTTCCATAAGGTATCAACGCAGCAAGTTTTAATGGATCGTTTCCCCCTTTGTCAATACAAAATAGTTGAGGAAAAGCGCAAATCACATTTTCATGATGGCAGGATACGCTCACTTCTTTGCGAAGACCCGGTATCATCTCATTTTGATGATTATTCATGAACACATGCTCATGATACAGTCGGAATCGTGCAGTCGACTGCTTTTAGCTTCCTCTGAAGGGTTTTGTGGCCTTTGTTTGATATAAAGTATTATTGAAATCAAAATTGGGATTCGCGATGTGTCGTTACAGGAGGTCTTCCGCATCTGGGACGGTCCTGTACATCACCGGTCTGAGCATGTTTTTCGACTAAACGGCTTACGGCAGTGTGATGATATCCCAAATTCCCACCAATGGCATTACAAGGCATTCCTGCGTCATGCATGGAAACATAATTCTTCCCGTAATTATATCTTTTATGACTGTTACATGGACCAAACAATAAGGAAATATATTAGGGTGTGCTTAACCTTTTTTTTTTGTGTATATAAAAAAGTCTTGGTGACACCATGATGTTTTCAGTTGGTCGTTTTCGGGTGTCAGTGGCAGTTGCGTACATATCCGCTTTCAAACAAACGCCATAATTTACATTAACAGAGTTCAACAATGACAGTAAAGTTATCTGAGGTAGACCTCATGTACTCGTCATTGAAACGGTCCTCAACAAAGACAGGTCCCCATACAAGCAACAGCAAAGCAACAGAACGGAACGATTCATGGTATGGTATTTACAATGAAGTACATAAATAGACGTCGGCAAGACTGGGGCAGTATTGTGCTCAAACCTTCTGGAACATGAGTACAAAACATTCTGTGAGTTGATCATGTGTTATACATTTCAGAAAAACTTCGTGGTGGCTAACTCGGCGATAAATATCGACGAACGGGTCAACGCGCACGGCAAAGAAACTACGCATCAGCAAAAACAAAATAAATCGGCGGCTTCGAATTTATCGTGGTTAGTGAATCTACGTATATCAAGATAATGTACTTGTTGATGGAAAATACATATGGTGGAAAGTGAATTTATTTTTGGATATCACTATAACTATCGTAACAGTGACCTATGGACCTCGCCACGTGAAATGGAATCACAAAATATCTCAATTATATACACATGCACAAAAGTTAAGCGCCGCCATATTCATAGTCTCTTCATTTCACGTGTGGGAATCAGAAATACGAAAAATGATGACGTATGACTGAATTAGGCTTCCGTAGTTTCATGAACCCAAATTTGTCCAGATACCACAAGGAAAGCGTGCTTTACGTGTTGCTGCAGTTCCCTACCCTATAAATAGTAAAATTCAAGTTTCAGACACGTGGTTGCATTTTGCTCCTGTGTGAGATTCCCCATCCAATAGAGGTTGAAAATCAGCCATTGTGAGGAGAAAGTTGACGAACGCTGAAAGATGGCAAGTGATATGCTTGAAAAATGCTGGCATGTCATGCAGGGCCATTGCAAGACAAATGGGTCGTCATCACAGTGTTATCACTCGTTTGATTGTCAAACATGGTCAAACCAATGATGCCATTGACAGGCATACGTATGACAGGCATAAGTAACAGCTCACAAATATGGTGGGTAGCGCTTAACTTCACAAAACATCAGCAAAACAACTTCTTCGTTGTTCGTCCTGTCTTCTCTTAAAAATATGTAGTCACACGTGCTCTAAAGTCTACCGCTGATTTTTAGAAGTGCCTCCAAATACATATTGCCTTATGCCGCAATGCAAAAACGTATACTGGAGTACTCTATACCACCTAGTGCTTGAATCTGTATCTGATAGCATTAGCTGTAGACCACAGACGGTTAAGTTCACCTCGTTGGACTGTTGTATTCATATTCGCCCACAACGCCCACAGCTATCACGCGAGAATTAGTAGTTCATTCATACGTTGTTTTGTAAAATATATATAAGAAAACGGACAACTTTATAGATAATGCGATGTTTCGATATAGATTCTTACACATTTATCAAGCGGGAGTGACAAAAACCAAGTGATGAGAGGTTTATATGCATGACATGTTGTGATAAGCAGCAGATTAAAATTAACAGCAATAACTAATAGGTAACAAAAGGTACACAAAGGATTGATAAAATTATTAGTCTTTAGGTGAGGTGAAATGGCGTCTAACGTCGCGACCAAGATTATTGCACTTATATAGCGACGTGAATGTACGTGTGTGTGTTTGTGTGGCTGCTTGTACTAGTCCCGACTGAAGCCGATTTATAGTGCCAGCTCACGGAGATACCATGCCGCAGTTTAACATGAATACCCCACTCAGACACAGTATACTGACTCCGAGCCGACCAGTCCTTGTTTTACCCCCTTAATGCCGAGCGCCAGACAGGGTAACAAAAAGTACCATCTTTTAACGTCTTTTGGTATGACGCAGCCGGGGATCGAACCCCGGACCTTCCGCTCTCCGGGCGGACGCTCTACCACTAGACCACGGAGGCGGTCTTATTTGTCTTGAAATTCTGTATTACGTCGGACTCTCTGATTGAAAAGTATGTAGTTGAATTGACAGATGACGAAATGAATGCGAGTGAATTGTTAATTACTTCTTATATGACACCAACGAATGTGCTCCAAATATGTCTTTTTTCATCAGTTACCGTAAAGTTCCAGACTGTAACTTGGTAGTTTCCATAAGCAGGGGAGAGTCCTATCCAGGTGTCTTTTGATGCCGAAACATGATCTTGTTGGGCGCCGGAGCAGACTTCAGCACGCTGTGACACAGAACCCGGTTTTCCTTCGTAGCGAGTTGATCCGCAGGAACTACTTTATGTAAGCTCTCTACATCGATGTGGTGTCCCCCACATCCCCAAATATATGCAAATGAGTTCACCCAACCGGAACTACTTTTAGTAAGCTCTCTACATCGATGTGGTGTCCCCCACATCCCCAAATATATGCAAATGAGTTCACCCAACCGGAACTACTTTTAGTAAGCTCTCTACATCGATGTGGTGTCCCCCACATCCCCAAATATATGCAAATGAGTTCACCCAACCGGAACTACTTTTAGTAAGCTCTCTACATCGATGTGGTGTCCCCCACATCCCCAAATATATGCAAATGACTTCACCTAACCGGAACTACTTTTAGTAAGCTCTCTACATCGATGTTGTGTCCCCTACACCCATATATATATATATATACAAATGAGTTCACCCAACCGGGACTGTTTTAAGTACCCCCCCCCCCCTATCGATGTAGTGTTCCCCCCCCCCCCCACGCCTATAAATATATGCACATGAGGTCACCCAGCATATACTAAAACTATTTTACACCTGTATTACTGTATTTATTGTTGAGCTCTCAGTTTTGCCGTAGGATCGTGTGCCATAAATGTTGTATAAACCAATACTTATTTAATAAGAAAATACTTGATGAAATATCATTTTTCACCGTTATTTTGCCTTTACCCCCAGTAGATTCAATCGATCGTTGTCGGATATTCGAGACTGGTTATTCTCTGGTTTTGACGTTTTATATTTTCATATCTTCCATACACACTTTTTTTAATATAAGGGATTATGTGGGTATGTAGGTATGTGATCCCGTGACTAGATACAGATACGTTATGCTTAATATACATCCTTATCAAGACAATTTCCTAACACCTGTAGTTTTCGATAATATTATTGTTACCACTTGTTGATTGGCCGCCGTCGTATGTCAGGAGCACTGCTTACTTTTGTGTGCAGATTGTGTGAGTGGCGGGTGATACCGGTAGGGCAGGACATGCTGACCCTTTTCTAAACACCTGGTGTCATCACTGATAATGTGATACATTCATATAATTGTCACCTCCTTTTTCGTTTAACGCCCAATGCAAACTGCTTCTGCGGATAATCGAGAGTCATTATTCTCTGGCGTTGACGTTGTATATTGCCTTGATCAAATAAATCTTTGAATGGCATTTAAAAGTCCTACAGACAAGGAAGGGTATTTATGGATGTCAACTTTTTCGGAGTATATGCTTACTCCTTAATCAGATGAATGAATGCTATGAGGCAGAGAGCATATATACTCACACGCAAAAGAAACGCATGTCGAGTATTTATTTTCAACAGTTAGGACAAGAAATACTAATAGGGCAAGATTGACAAAAAATTGACTGAAGACAGTTCAATGGATTAAAAGGCAGATGACATAATTGTTTTTTTCAAATGTTAAGGGCTTACACAGTTTCGGGTCAATACCAAAAACGTCAGTCAATATCTGGTGTGACCACCATTAGCATTGATCACTGCCACACTTCTCCTGTACATTGAGTGGATCAGACGATTTGTGAAGGCCCTAGGGATCCTCCTACACACATCCAGAGCAGCTGTGCGTAGTTCATCGGCAGTTGTAGGGACTGGGCGCATATTGTGCAGACGCCTTTGAACCTCACCCCACAAGTGTTCGATGGGGTTCAGATCAGGGCTGAGGGCTGGCCACGGTACAACACGGATGTTGTGTTGTTGCAGAAAGGCCATGGTAGCTCTGGCAACATGGGGACGAGCGTTGTCCTGCTGGAAAATGTGTTGTTGATGTTGTGCAAAAAATGGAACAACGTGGGGTCTGATAACTTGGTCGATATACCGCTGAGCAGTGACGCCGTGTCCCCGACCTTGACCAACATTCAGAAAGC